GATAAAACAAAATTGAAATTTTATTTATAATTCATTTATGATTGAAATTTTCTTCTAATCGGTAGTCGGGAAATTTTTCGTCGATTTACCGTCAGGGCAATTTTCTTGTATAAAAGGTTATCACCGGTGTGTACAACGATAAGGAGGTTTCCAACGAAATGGTTTGCGCGTCGACACGATTAGCTCGAATGTAGCTATCTCGTTCTCTTCCGCCGCATCTTGGTTCGCTTTTTTCTCCTAGTCGTTTCCCGTTTCCCTCGCCTTTTCCGATCGTTTCCTCTACTTTTTTTTTCCTTATTTAGCCGCAACTCGCTCGTTTGGTTCCATTTCGCGCAGCAGTTAGCCAGCGTGTGCGCGGCCAAGTCGATTTAGCCGGGCCATCGCCACGCTCGAAAACATTTCGCACACTGCAACGCGTCATGGGAATTTCGAATGAATTTTCGTATTTTCAGCAAGCAGACGCCTCGCTATTGCAGCCGAACGAGTATGCACGGCCGTTGCTACTGCGAGGTCGTGGAAAATTGCTGAATACACTGGCGTACGTTTGTTCCTCTTCTCACGAGCACGTAAAACGGGACTACTTCGCCCATTCTATTATCGAGATGATATTTTTTCATATTTTTTCCAACTGCTAATCATTAGTTATCTTTTCATGTTCATTTTGCTATCTTATGTTTTAATTTTAAAACACTGCGCGATGTTCCTGGAGAATCTGAGATTTTAACTTTCTATCTGTATACAATTTGTCTCGTCACGATAGTCACGGAAATGGTAACATCGAAATTCCGCACGCATATCTAGTGAAATTTCCTTTAAAGCGGAGAATTGATTTCTTCGCGATAACTCGAGTTTCTTGTTATCGATGATACCGCGATGGCGAAATCGTGATAAATTGGATGTGGATGTCCTAAGTCCATTGGAGGGTTTCCGATGTACCAGATACGGGGTGATAAATAGCTTCTTTCTTAAAGGAAACTTTCAATTGTGCTTTTTAACAGGTGTTTTCTTTTAGAAAGCGTTTCGATGACAGTGACCAATGAGATTAGTTAAAATGTAATATATATTTAAATAATTTTAGATTCATCCTAATTTAAATACTTCATAATGATATCCAAAAGTTCCTTTTCAATTATAATTTATCCCATAATGAAGCGTTGCTCGCGTATAAAACAGTTTATCACCCCCGATGAATAATCCTTAGGTAAATGAATTATTCCATCGAAGGGAATTTATCCGAGGGTTCGGCTCGAATAACCCATCCAAACAAAGGTTGTACAGTGTCGTTGCAATAAATAATTATTATCTGAACGAACAACGTCGAGCTGAAGCTCATTCGCCTAGATACGAATGCACACTCGAGCAGACGTTGCTCGAACAATTATCTTAGATAAACGTTTGCCGTAAATTGTTGGAGCAATGGCCAGGTCTGAAACCGCGGGTAACGTCGTCATTAAACGCAACAAGCTAAAAGAACGACGGGAAAAAAGGATTGTGGTAGCATGCATAGAAACGATCCATTTAGATAATCTATACACATACATGTACGTACATACAGGGTGTTCCACAAGTTATCATATAAACTTTCTTGCTGTATTTTACAGTTAAAAATAAGTAAAAAATTTTCTATAAAAATTGTGGATAAATTCTTTAATGATTATAAAATAATTAAGCATCTTAGACATTACAAATGGACATATTTTATTTCATACTTTTGTTACAATTTTTTAATACAGTATTTGTAAATTTTTTATTACATGACATTTTATTTTTATTTTTATGGAACATGTTAACTTAGTTTGCAAACCTTCGAGACACCCTGTATATAGGTGCACGGGTTTGAAACGTGCATGGAGTCTGTGCCAACAGCGTGCACCGATCGTTTTGTATTATTTTTTACCTTCTTTTTTTTTTAGCTTTCCATTCGCCCCTCTACGCTTTCCTATCTTGCTGTAACAACGTTTTCAAAAGGGATCCGGTGCCTTTTTGCACATACGCTTTAAATATGTTACGACAAAAATGGTCGCAGCGATGTTTCCGCGATTTGAAACGGTCAGGAATTCGTTCGCTTTGTAAATTACGTTCGATACGAATGTAATGGAATCGAATGGAACGATCACCCGCTGCTCGTTTCAACCCTTCCGCGACTCGTGAATTCGCGGCCTATCGCGGTTAAGCAAATTTGTCGTGAAACGGATTAACCCGTAATTACAGCGAAATATACCTAAATAGGAACGGCTATTTCAATGAAATCATCTACTGTACCATTTCGACGATGAATTAGGTCGTTTATTCTTTTCACCATCTCGCCTCGCTTTCGTTTTATCGTTTCGAGACCGCGTGAACGTGCGTTCAGTTTCCTGGCTCGATTGAAATTTTCTCGCTAACCTGGAACGATATAAAATGGGACGCAAACAGAATTGTTTTTTTTACGGCACAGCCACGGGGTAAAAATGGTGAATGAATCAAAGTGTATGTTTCGAACGTTTATTGCAAATGTTGTTTTAATTAATTACATATGTCAATCGATAGGGTTTTAAAATTTCAAGAGTTCTTAAAGTTTCATTGCTAACAGATCTTATCAGTGATGAATGAGGGTAAAAAATCTATAGTAGTACACCTTCGATAAAAGAGCGCCTAAAATAATCAATGAAAGTTGAGGTTATTGTTTAAAAAAAGAAAAGGGTTCCTTGATATCAGAAGGAAGAAAGTAGTTCAACTTGAGAAAGCACCCTTGTCGACGATGGGGGTGGGTGGTGGCAGTCGGTCGTTCGTCGTAGAGCAAGAACGAGGTTAAGTTAGGTGTGATCTCTTATCGGTAGCGTGGAGTAGAGAGTCTACCCACGTTCCTCTTATCTTTCTCGCTTCCCGCTTCCCTCCCTGTTGAACTTACAACCCTTCCATACATACGTGCGATACATATTGTCGTTCGGGATCTAAGAAGCTGGCAGCCGAGCTGCACTCACCTATAGAACCCGACAACCATCGACTGTCCTCATATATGTCCTCGATGGCGAGGGTGTTCCCGTTTTTCACAGCAGTTGCGCTACCAAATCGTGCCCCCGTGTTTCACGACTTTTACGACTCCACGGTTAACGCGAGCCTCGCGCAATTGTTCGTCGAGTAACGTCGTTAAGGAGCTCTCTGAAAAGATACCCGGGCTTTATTATATAACAATAACTTTACGATGTACCGGTTATTGCGAGCCCTCCATGATAAATACGCGTCGTTCGGCTCGACTTTCCTGCAGTTTTATACCTTCTATACGCCGGCAACGATCAGCTTCGTAACGAGCGTACAGCCTGTTGGTCCCGATCCAATCGAAATAAAATACTGGCGAAACGATCTCGTCCAAAGTAATTATTGTTTTCTCCAGTCGATCGAAAATCGATAGCGAAATGGCACGTATGAAGTCCAGTCTATTTATCAACGTTTCAAAAAAAATTAAGCACCATTATTAATCTTCTGAAAATTAATCTTCAAATAATATAAATTTCTATACATATCAAGATTGAACCTATATCGTTCGCTAACGATGGTCACCCGAAGTTTTCACGATAATGACCAGCAGTTGAGCTCTAATTTCACCGGGCCGATTTCACTTTACAACCGAGATAACAACCTAAATAACTACTTAACCCTTAGCCGTATTTGTCGTTGGAATTCAAGAATTTATGACCACGCTCGTTAATTCATCATGCTCGTTCAAGCTCTGACGAGCCACTATAAACAGAATTAAGAGCGGATGAAGTTTCTCTGCTGTTACACAAAGCAAAAAAAAAAAAAAGAATTACCGGCTCGCCTCGTCAAACAGACTGTCGAGCGTAAGGCCATTTCTGCTTTTTCCACGGAGAAAATGGAGGTTCGGTATGTGTGAGTGGGTAAACGATGAAAATGTGTGGGATCTTTGAAGCCGGGATCCAGTTTCTATACCACTTGGGAAAAGTCAGTCAGCCGGACGAGCCGAGAAGCGAAAGTTTTCGAAGTCGATGCGTCGGAGTGGCATGGAGGCAACGAACGAGATTGAAATACCCTCCCCGTTTTTCTGTACCATCCCCTAAACTACTCCACCGTCCTTCCTTCTTGTCTTCTTGTTTTCTTTCGTTTCGTTGAATCCATGCCGCTTTTATCCCCGGTGCACAGGGACGGCAGGTTCGATTTGTAATTCAGCAAGTTTTCGGGGCTGGCATGCGGGGTGTAGAGTTGACGTTGCGCTCAAAAACTACCATAGATAAAGTTTGAATGTGAAAGTTACGGGCCGCTTATAGTGGCGGCAAGGGGGTGAAAGGCACGAGGAAGATATAAAACCGGTGCCCTTCCCTCGATGGGGCTGTAAGTACGTTAACTTTCCGTTTATGTTCCAAGAACGCAGGATACATCCTGGATTCTAGTGAGAAAAGTCAGCTGGAATACGTTCGCTTTCTTTTCTCTCTTTTTGTGGTTTTCTTTTTCCTGACTTTTAATGCCGATTTTTATCATTTTTAAGTGAATATTTTGATGGAATCGTAGAATTTAAAACCATTTTTGGAATTCTATATTATTGGACCATTGGTACAGCCAATTAAGATGATCTATGAATTCTTTTTCTTTACAAAATCTAGCACGCGTTACGATTTCTGTTTTCTTTTTTCCTGTCATCTTCTTCTTCAGCGGCTGTCAGCTGCCCAAAGTGAAAATTCCTTCGCTCTAAAATAGCGGAAGATTCGCGATCGTGTCGTAAACCCAGTCAAGTGTAAGCACCAGCATCTTCTACGCCATAAATTCGTTCATATTCCTTCGCGGGTTATTCGTCCACGGCCACGTTCCCGAAATATTATTTCTTTTGGAAAAATTCGGATAAGTAAATTTGTAAATTCAGCACTATAAACTGAAAGCCAATGAATTCACGAGAATTTTATCTAAAATATGTTTGACGATATATAAGGATCCTGTTTTCTTTTTCTTTTGAAAATCTTGATTAATTATAAAAGAAAATGGAATTCATATTTAATTTCTAATTTCAGGATTACGACAGAGATCTGGTCCCACCGACACACCGAGGGGTGGTGAGTGTCTATTTCCTTTTTTTTTTTCGTTAATTTACTTTGATGATTAAAGAATTATAAATTTAACTCGTTCATGTGCCTGAAACAGCTGGCTTTGATCGCAAATTAGGTTGAAAAATCACCGTGTAACGAATGAAAAAAGAAATATCGCAGCAATAATAATGTAGCTTATTTCAAACGGTAATTCGTTTATTCGTGAACGAGTAATCAAAATTGAGTTCGAAACGGGAAATTGGAATGAGCCGAGCTTTTAAACGGATCTGTAATACGTTCCAAGAGCGGGTATTTAAAGGTTAATTTCCCGAATAATATCCTTGGCTGTTCGCGCTCGTTCGCGGCCCTCATTAGCGTAATTGACGTAAGCCTTTCGATTAACGAGGGCATTTTGTAGCTGTACAGGACACGGGGAAAAAAAACGAACAGACCGCTGATAAATTTCAAGCTGAAATGGCAGTGAAATAAAGATGTTAAAGCGCGATTGTCAGACTCGTAAATCTTTTACTCGTTTCGTGCCGATACTTACCTAGTAGAAATTACAATTACACAAGGTTTACATTTTTATTTCGGTTCGAACGCAATAATGTTCAGTCAATCGTCGATTTTCAAAATTATTCATATTTCACGGTATTTAAGCATCACCGGTGTAAAAGCGTAAAAGCTATTCTGCGTGAAACTAAAACGAAGACAATCGATTCCTTTTTTCTCCCGCATACGCGTTTCATGTACACATCGCACCTCGCATGAAACGAAATTTTATATACACATTCGTGGTGAAAATTCGGCTATTATATATATGCACGTGTCCTTTTTTTCGGGCCATTGTTACAAATATATAGGTCGCTCGTACATTTTCAGCGTTAAAGGTGTTCTAAATTCAACTTTATTGCCCGGTTTAAATGGGGAGATACTGAAAATTGTAGCTAATTTATTCTTCTTTTCATCCGAGTTAATTGAAGAATCTTTCATGCTAATTAATTAGAAATATTCATGCTGAGAAATCTAGAATGTATAGGGGTTGAAGTCTATTCGCTATACAAATTAATGCTTTAGGTCTCTTCCAGACGAAGCATGCATAATTATAGGTCATTTTTAAGAAAATTTTTCTAAAATAACATTATTGGATGATGCTCTTTATTCAACAATTTTTTATTATAAATTCTTAAAAATCCCTTACATTTTTATAAAGTTTAATTCTGGTGAACTCAGCGATAAATTTAATTAATTAATTCTTTTAAATTTCCATCCAACTAAATTTAAAAGTTTGCATAATTTTACTGTTAATTATAAATATTTCTTTACAGCCAGTCTTCATTTATTGTTCAATTTGTTTTTCTCAGTATATTTTAACCATGATCAAATTAAGAAATAATGTATTCTGTTGAGAAACAGTCGCGGTGAGGAGTCGACGAAACCCGTCTCTCCCTTTAACCCCCAATGCGGTGCTTTCCATCAGAAGCTTTCCTGTTCCCTGTAGTTGGTCAGCGGGTGGAACACTCCTGACTTCCTCGTGAAAGTTAAATTGCCCTGGTCTCTGTGTCATCGTTGCATTTTTTACTTCTCTTTCCGAATGTTAGTTACGTGATCAACGTAATTTCATTGAAACATCGCTACCGCTTTCTAAATATTCCGCGTATGGAGCTAGTTTTGCAAACGGAGGCAAGCATTTATCGTTATCGTTCGGTTTAGTTCGGTGATCGATATTCGATTGAAATGCACGTATCGCCGCCGGATCCGTCGCTTTTTTGCGTTTTCAGTCGATGTAATCGCGGCGGATAGCGTGGTTTTTCTCTGTACACCGGAGCTAACACGAACGTGCCAGACCAGTGCATGAAAAATATTTGGGAAAAACTAAAGGAACAGTAGAGTGGTGGGTTGGCAAAATAGCAGCAGCACCATTGAACGTGAATGATAAAATTCGAATCGGTGGATCTGGAGTGTTGTAAACAAATGTGCGAATTAAAACATGTTGTGCACAATGTGTAGGGAAAAAGGGCAACGAATAATCGACACTTTTTATTTTATTTTTTTATTCAATTCAATTTTTATTATTCAAAAATAAATATTCGGCCATTAAAAAGTCGATAAGCAAGTATGTTAAAAATAATTCTAGAAATAGGTATATTATATTTTGTTCAATCGATGATGAATTGATTCTTCAATTTCTCTTATTTATATACACTCTATTCATACCTTACACTTCTAACAAAATACCGAAAAGGAAGCAACAAAGTCAACAATGAAATCCAACCGTCAGATTTCTCATTCGTAGCAAGGATCCTGATTCGAGTTCAGAACTGGTCCCCAGAGCGAATCCTCGTTTCAGCAGGATGCTCGTTCGTATACGCTCGTGCACCAAGCGCACGAACTTAATCTCTTCGTGACATCAAGCCAGTAATTAAACTCGAATGATATTCGTTTGGTGGGTGAAAGTTTAAATTATCTTGTCTAGCATTCGAAATAGTGTTGGTTAGCCAGTTTTTCCTCTTCTTTACGACTTTTTAATCGTCGATATAACGCGTACGTATTCACGGTTCAAGCGTACGGCACCGAAAGAGGAACAAAACGGGATTCAGCGAACGGCGAGGATTAACTGGCAGAGAACATTCGAGCTCGGTAGGTGGTTAACGTTTGAATTTGATGCTCGTATCTAATTCTGTTTAGTAGACCGATCGAGATACGCGGACACGGGCGCATCGTGCAGGAAAGTTTAAATTATCCTGTCCGCTGAGAGGAAGCATCCTCTCCTCGGGGAAACGGCTCGGATTGGTCGAGTCTGATTAGTTCGTCGGTCGGTGGCTCGTTTTATCCTCTATTCTGTCGTTCTCCTTTCCACGCTTTCGTAACTACCGCGTAACCATCGAGCGAAAACGCCGCTAAGGTGTCGCGATCCTCCTTCGTTTTCGGACTAACCGGAAACTGCGAAGAGTACGGTCACCCTGCCCTTGCTCGCCCAATTTCCGGCTCCGTTCTTCCCCGAGGACGGCTATTCTTCGAATATCCCTCTTGGTACATACCGCAGTTCGCTATCGTTTAATCAGACTTCCCTCGATGAACCGGTCGATTGGTTTCTAGGAGATCTGTATCAATTTTCGCGATGAGTCCCTTCGAGGCACGGAGCTGCTTTATAGATATTCCCGGTGAATGACCCGCGGGGACAATGTGTTTCGTTAATTAATTCGAAGCGCGACACCGTGTCTTCGACTGAGCGAACACCTGCTCCTCGAATAGACGGACTAATTATTAAAACATCTCGTGGTGATTCGTTAATTTGCTGAGAGATCAATGATGTGCCTAGCATAGATATCTTCTTTGACCTTTTTCACATTTACATAATTAAAAATATCTCAGCACTAATTATTTCATTGCAATCGGTTAATTTTCTTCTCTCTTCGATACAAACGCACTCTATGTATGTCGGAAATTGGAGCAAAATTGCATTCGCATCAAAGTGTCCGATCGACTCGCACTCTCGTAGTCACCTTTTAATGTCAGCTCGAAAAAGCGGCCGCGATGAAATCGAGGTAAAATAAACGAAACGAAGCGAAACGAGACGGGAACGAGTAGAGGAACAGGGCGAAACGAAATGGAAACGAATTTAACTATCCACGGTAGCTGGTGTACGTAGCCGATGGCCAGAGAAGTCGACAGCCAGCAAGGACTCGTCTTTTTCTAGAATCGTTGCGGTAAAAGGGATAGAGATTAAAAGTTCTACGTTGTACCCATTCGTTCTAGCGTGATACTTATCCTGCCATTACCGTTTTAACGACGATTCAAACACTCTTCGACGTACAATCCCTATTTCTACTATCAATTAAACTTTCGTCATTTTCATTTTAATCCTCCATCTATATAGTTGCATCCTTGATTTAGTAGATTTCCAAATTTGAAAATGATCGGCGACGGGGTGAAAGAGAGAGAGAGGGGAGGAAGTAGTTTGGAGGGAAAAGCAACGAAGTAGTTTGGACGATGAAAGAATCCGTTGAAATACGATAAGGAGGTCGGGAAGTTGCGAACTTGCTTCTTGGCGAGACGCGTTTTACCGTTGATTCGCGCTCGAGCGGCGAGTATTGTCGGCAGCAGATGCAGAGCAGCGACATTCTGTCGAGTTTCTACAATTCGATTTGAATCTCGTAATAGCGAAGTTCGCGGAGTTCACGGAACTCGAGATAATTACGACGCCTCGTGTAACTGGGAAGAAACGAGAAGGTTGGTCGATTTTTTTCTTCTTCTTCAATGAAACAGGAAGGATAAAAAAAATTCTCTTCCTATCGGTACGAAATAGGTACCGTCGTTGACCCGTGACCCCGGTAAAGGTACGAATTAAAGGAGAAGTAATTGCTAATTGCCTGAATGGTAATTGAAAGAAGAGGTTTCCTCGTGGAAAGCGAATCGAGTAATTAATATTCTTCGGTTCTCCGCGAAGACGGAAGTATCGTGGATGGTCGAGGCTAATGCAGCTAGTGCTATTTAATACCCCGAGGAGGAGTATACAGCTGGTCGGTCGGTCGGTAAGGACAAAACTCAATTAACAAAGTGGCTCGTCATCTTCTCTTCCGGCCTCGAAACTAAATCCGTTTAATACACTTATCTTTGTTGCCGCAGCAACAGAAAGCACTTGAAATCCGTTTAATATACTTATCTTTGTTTCTGCAGCGACGGAAAGCGTTTCTGCTTTTAACGTGTATTAACTTACACGCGAAAGCGAAAGCTTGCCCCATAGAAAACCCTGTTTTCCATGTAATCTTATTAGCGCTGGGAAATTAAGCTTACTAGTCTTCGACGATACTTTTACTAGTTTCGTTATTTCCTTCATCGCCTTCTTCATATTCGGAGTCTTTCTACCAAAAATAAGTACCTGCTAACTTTGGAAATGCAAGTAATCCGACGACTACTCGAACCTGAAGAGTCATACTGGTATCAGAAACTTTGGAACTTGATTCCATCTATCATAGATGTAATTTCACATCGTATATCTTCGCTTACGAATTGGACCTGAATTT